CATTGTATCATGGAAAAAGCAAGATAGTTCCAGAAAAACATCTACTTCTGCTTTATTGACTATGCCAAAGCCTTTGACTATATCAATCACCACAAACTGTGGAAACTTATGAAAGAGATGGGAGTACCAAACCTCCTGACTTGCCTCTTGAGAAATCTGTATGCAGGTCAGGAAGCAACAGTTAGAAATGGACATGGAACAACAGACTCGTTCCAAATAGGGAAAGGAGTATGTCAAGGCTGTATATTGTTACCCTGCTTTTTTTAACTTATATGCAGAGTACATCATGAGAAATGCTGGGCTGGTTGTAGCACATGCTGGAATCAAGTTTTCCAGGAGCTTGTGGTGAAAATTTTAATTAATTTGGTCGTACAACAAATATTTATTGAGAGTCGTCCATGTGCTAGACACTTCCCTAAGTGCTGGAGGAGAATCAATTGGCAAAGACAGACATGGTCCTTGCTGGTTTAACAACAAGATTTAGTTTTCTAGAAACAAAAGCCCTGGTTTTTAATATTTGCCTATTTCAATCTCTCCATGTTCTATATTACCTGGCACATAAGAACTCAAGCATGGCAACCATTATCATATGTCCTGATCATAATTATCATCAATATTATATATGATAGTGCTTTAACAACATGCTAAAAAGAAACCATCATCTCTGGGCGGTGGGGGGGGGGGATGTCCAAGATACATATTTATGAGTGAGTGAGTGTGTATGTGTAAAGGTAAAGAAAAGCAGAAAAGGGTCTACAAGGATACACACTGGATTTGGTATGGTTATATCAAAAAGATGTGAGCTTGAGAAGTTAACAAAATAGGATTTTTTCTTTGCTAAAAATCTGTACAGTTTGAATTTTGAATCATGAGTATGAATTAATTTTATTCATTTATTTTATTAATAAAACAATTAAAATTAATTAAAAATTAATTGATTTTATTCACTGTCCAAGTTGCACACACAGAGCTCTCTCATATGATGTCAGTCCAACAGTGACCAAATGCATAGAAGGCAAACAGCAGTTACCATAATATATGAACCATTGTAGATAGAATCATTGTTAAACAGTTATTGCTTTCCTGATGAAGGTGACTTCAACTGTTGACAGAAGATGAAATAGAAGCAAGACACTTGATAAGTATTCAGGTTGCTGCAAAACAAACCACTCCTGTGGCTTAATGATAGTGTTTATTTTGCTCACAGATTGGCAGCTTGGGAGGGGTGGAGTCAGGGTGTGATAGGGACATTTTGTCTCTTTTCTGCTGGACATCAGGTGGGTTGACCGGAAGGCTGAGGGCAGAATCGTCTGAAGGGCACTCACGAGTCCGGTGGCTGACGCTGACTGTCGTCCGGGACCGACGTGGGGCTGTGGCTGGAAAACCTCCATGTGGCCCTTCCATACGGCTGCTCATCTCCCCCGCAGTATGGTGGCCAGGTTCCGAAGGTGAGTGTCCCGAGAGAGTTGGGGGGAAGCTGTGTCCACTTTCTTAACTTAACCTCCAAAGTCACAGGGGTCACTTTCTTCACATTCTGTTTGTCAAGGGAAAAAAAGGAGAAATGAACTCTATCCCTTGATGGGCAAGTAGCAAGTTCTACAAGAGCACATGGGACTGGAAATACTAATGTGGCCATTTTTGGAAAATACAACCTGGCCCAGTAAGTCCTGTCTTTACTGACGTGATCTGTACTACACAGCTGCAGAGCAGAGATGCAGAACAGCCCAGGGCTGCTTGGCTGCCCAGCTGAATGTGAGTATTGCAACTTTACCTTTACTCCGAAAACCATGTTCATGCATTGTGAGAGCTGTGAATTCTTATGTAAGGGACCAAAAGAATTTCAGTATTGTAGTATTATTCATGCCTAGCACAGCCATGGTTTTTAGATCAGCTTTCCTGAGTACTCTCAAATTTATCATAGCCTAAAAGGCAGATTGACACATTATAGGGACAGTTAAAGTCTATTTTTGTTGATTGGACTCAGGAAACTGGTGTATTATTTTTGCCTCTGAGCTTACTTCTCAAATACAACAAAAGAGCCCAGAAAGGAGATTCATGAAAATGTATGGTTTGAACACAATTTCAAATATTCTCCTTCAATGCATATTGGTGTTCTTATAACCTACCAGCCACACTTAAGGCTATGTTAAGTTTAACATGTGAGAATTCAGATGCATTTATCATTTTTGATTAAGGCTCATTAAGGATTCACTTGTATCCCTAGAGTCCTTGGTTCCCACTGTGGCATGCCCGCAAGAAAACATATTAACACTGGACTAATCACCAGGTATGTATAGATTACCCATAGAGTAACACTTAGAGAATTGTCAGAAAGCATCCAATTAATGGAGCCTACTAGGTTGACATCTCCCTTTATCTTACAATATGAATTATTAGCCCCAAATCAGCAGTAAATTAGATCTGCAGGGATTCTAATTTTTAGAAACTCTATTACTATTAATTTTTATTTCTTTGAACATAACCAAGTTCTTCTCTCATTTAAGAAGATGTAGTCATCATGTAACCAAAGTCTTATAAACTAAGCTCTTTTGGTGATTGACATGTGAAAAATAAAAGAAAAACAGACTTTCACACTGCCTTTTAAAGTGTGAAAAAACAGTCTTTATTCACGGTTGGATAAATCAGTCAAAGTGAATTTTAACAAAGTTTTGCCCCCAAATATTTTCTTGTTTAGACTGAAGACAGCCATAAAACATTTCTTTTAAGCTCAGTCAACATTTCGTTCTTTAGGAATTTGTTAGAGATTTAAAACTTTTTCCAGTCCTTTTCCCCCCTTAACAACAATGCCAAAGTAGCAAACAAAGCAAACTTGGTGCCTGTATCTTTCCTGAAACTGACGTCATAAATGGAATTCAGATATTGTGACCCCCACTGCTTATGTTTATTGATGTGTCCTTATAAAGAACATTTACAGATATGCCCAGCTCAGGCAATTATTAAAACCATCAGTTAAGACAGCAAACATGGTTGTTCTTCAGTTCACCTAGGGGAACCTTTATAAAATACTGATTCTTGGACCCACTCCCCCAAAATGCTGGCTCACAGGCCATGAATGAAGCCAAGAAATCCATACTCTTCAAAAGTTCCTCTTATAATTCTGGGTGTTGGCCCAGGGTGGGAATGACTGAATGGGAATATTTGCTAACTTTTGAAGTAACTTTTGTAAGGTAAGATGTTCTGCCTTGATAGAGTTTGTATAGCTCAAAACAAAGTGATATTATGCTTGAATTTCTATCCTTATTACATTTTACAATAGGAACCCAGGCTTACCCTAAACTTTTATATATTTATAGTAGAAGCTACAGCTTTATAAACAAAATGGGGAAAGAAATTCTAGTTCGTAAGTCTCATCATTATTTTCCTCTTCAGCTTTCTGTTTGGGCTAAAATGTATTATATATATATGTATGTTATATATATTGATTACTTTCATTATTTGGTAAACTTTTTCTTCTTAATCCTTCAGGCCCCTCTAGCTGGAACTCCTGAAATAAAGGAACAGCTATTAACAATTAATTATGGTTAGAGGATATGAACGGGGCTTGCCTCATAAAAGTGGAATTTTTTGTGTGTAGAGCCACATAGGATACAAAAATATCTACAGATAGAGGAAACAGAAGAAACAAAGGCACAAATGCTTGAAGCTGTCTGGCACACTTCAGGATGGTGAGTAGCTCAGTGCAGGCCAGATACAAGATAAATGGGAGATATCAGCGGCAGGGGTAGGGGCGAAGAATTCTTTCTTGGTTCTGTTTCCCGTTTTCTGGAGTGGTTTTTTGAGGAAATATGTTAAGATGGGTTCTGAGCATGCTTCTGGCCCTGAGGTTGATCAGGGCTCAGCTATGGGCAAAAGAGGAGGCAACAGAAAATCAGGGTATTTTCTAGTCTTAGTCTCCATGATGTAAAATTTGGGCATGTGTTCTTTTTTTGTTTGATTATCCTTTTAAAAAATATTTTTAATTGGAGGATAATTGCTTTACAATATTGTGTTGGTTTCTGCCATATATCTCCCCCCAACTCCACCCCCCGCTGTATCGCTGTATTCTTGATCTTAGTGTTTTTCTCCCACAGTTCAGTTCAGTTGCTCAGTTGTGTCCGATTCTTTGTGACCACATGGACTGCAGCACACCAGGCCTCCCTGTCCATCACCAATTCCCGTAGTTAGTAAACTCATGTCCATTGAGTCAGTGATGCAATCCAACCATCTCATCTTCTGTTGTCCTCTTCTCCTCCTGCCTTCAATCTTTCCCAGCATCAGGGTCTTTTCAAATAAGTCAGTTCTTTGCAGCAGGTGGCCAAAGTATTAGAATTTAAGCTGTAACATCAGTCCTTCCAATGAATATTCAGGGCTGATTTCCTTTAGGATGGACTGGTTGGATCTCCTTGCAGTCCAAGGGACTCTCAAGAGTCTTCTCCAACACCACAGTTCAAAAGCATCAATTCTTTGGCATTCAGCTTGCTTTATAGTCTAACTCTCACATCCATACATGACTACTGGAAAACCAGAGCCTTGACTAGACAGACCTTTGTTGGCAAAGTAATGTTTCTGCTTTTTAATGTAATGTCTAGGCTGGTCATAACTTTTCTTCCAAGGAGCAAGCATCTCTTAATTTCATGGCTGCAGTCACCATCTGCAGTGATTTTGGAGCCCCCAGACATAAAGTCTGTCACTGTTTCCACTGTTTCCCCATCTATATGCCATGAAGTGATGGGACCAGATGTCATGATCTTAGTTTTCTTAATTTTGATCTTTAAGCCAACTTTTCCCACTCTCCTCTGTCACTTTCATCAAGAGGCTGTTTAGTTCTTCGCTTTCTGCCGTAAGGGTAGTGTCATCTGCATATCTGAGGTTATTGATATTTCTCCTGACAATCTTGATTCCAACTTGTGCTTCCTCCAGCCCAGCATTTCTCATGATGTACTCTGCATATAAGTTAAATAAACAGGGTGACAATATACAGCCTTGATGTACTCCTTTCCCTATTTGGAACTAGTCTATTGTTCTATGTCCAGTTCTAACTGTTGCTTCCTGACCTGCATACAGGTTTCTCAAGAGGCAGGTCAGGTGGTCTGGTATTCCCATCTCTTTAACAACTTTCCAGAGTTTGTGGTGATCCACAGTCAAAGGCTTTAGCATAGTCAATAAAGCAGAAGTATGTTTTTGTTCCCGACCTTCTCTTAATTTGGTATATACATTCAATGTCTTTGTCCTGGTTTTAATTCTCCCTGTGGTGTCTCAGATTATTGAGTGAGATCCTTGAGGGGTTTATGATGTGCTGATCCTTTGAGAAAGGTGTTTTCCTTTGACTGCTCTTCTAGCTCTGTTGGTGGGCTCTGTGGCTGGGCTTGGCTGGAACGTCATAATGAAGCAGTGACAACTAGTGTTCTACTTCTGAATTTCTGAATCAGTGATCAAGTCAAAAGGTGACTAATGAACAGTTAATCTGATGTTTTGCATTTATGAATTTCCATTTAAAAGGTGATGGCGCACAGACATTTTGTTTCTCCAGAAGTCAAAGAGCTAACATAGAAATTAGATCTAGTTCAGTTTTTGTCAAGAAAGTTTACACTGATGGTCAAAGCACCTGGTTTTTTATACATTTAAATATTGACTAGTCTAATAATTTTTCAATTTACCAGTTTTCAGAAACAAATCCAAATAGTTTACATGCTTAAAGGAAATTTTAAAATGCGTGTTTACTTCTTCAAAACTGTAATTGCTGTGAAAACTCTTTTTGTTGTTCCCACTATTTTGTAGTTATATCTAGCAGTCACATTTGGACAAAATATTTAGGCTCCTCATTAATGCTACTTGAAGATTTTATATTTGATTACATGTATTGTCTGTTACTTCCAAGACTTTCCTGGGGCCACATTTTAGCACTCTAAAAATGAGCTGTGTACATTGTAATCTCTGGACATTTCATGGAGCACCTTCCCTCCCACCTCCCCAAACGCAAAGCTGTTGTTAAATTTATGCTGCTTCTTGGCCATTTTAGAATCAAGGAAGTGTGGGAAATGCATGCATGGAGGATGCAAGACTTTGATTCTGTCAAAAGGAAAGAATGAGAACATGATAAATAAGGCAGAAGAATTGCTTTGACTGAAGATTTCAAAACTATACCTCCCTCTTCCTCTGTATTTTGAACATGGTTCTGTGTGCATAATGATGGCTAGAAGCTGGTATGACTTTTTCTGCAGGGCCTGAAGGAGCAACAAAAGGTGGATCAGGTGCCTTACTATCCCTTTATTTCCAATATTTTACAATCAGTTTAGTAACCTAATGATGTCAATTGTTACTGATGTTAGAGGGGGCATTTTTACCTAGAGATTAAGTATAAAACTTTGGAATGGTAAAATCGTTTTAAAAAATTTTTATTTTATATTGGAGCTATAGTTTTTTAACAGTGGCTTAGTTTGGGGTGTAGAGTCAGTGATATGTGTATCTGTTTGTTTTCAAATTCTTTCCCATTTAGGTTTTTACAGGATATTGAGTAGAGCTCCCCGTGCTATAGAGTAGATCCTTGTTGGTTTTCTGTTTTATATATAGAAAAGCATATGTATATGCTCTGATACTGTCTCCTCCATATCCACCGCCGCTGTCCAGACTTCCTGCCTCCTTCAAGTATCTCACTATCCTGCAGAGAATGTTCTGCCTCTCCTTCCTCCAATATTCTCCTTTCTGATAAGATCACCAATTTTATTTTTAAAAAAAGGTATGATATTTAAATTTTTTTTTAATTTTTATTTCAATATTATTGATTTATAATGTTTGTTTCAGGTGTCCAGAAAAGTGATTCAATTATATATATATGCTTATGTGTATATATATACTTTTTTTTTCCATTATAGGTTATTACAAGATATTGGGTGTAGTTCTCTGTGCCATTCAGTTTATCTACTTTGTGCATGTTTATTTTACATATAAATGTGTGTATATTTTAATCCCAAACTCCCAGTTTATCCCTCTGCCCTCCCTTTTCTTTTTGCTAACTGTGAGTTTGTTTTCAAAGTCTGTGAGTCTGTTTCTGTTTTATAAATTCATTTGTATCACTTTTTTAGATTCTGTGTGTAAGCAATATCATACGATATTTGTCTCTTACTTCACTTAGTATGATAGTCTGTAGGTCCATCCACGTTGCTGCGAATTGCATTACTTCATTTTTTTTTATGGCCGAGTAATAGTACGTTGTATATTATGTACCACATCTTCTCTATCCATTCATCTGTTGATGCACATTTAGACTGCTTCCATGTCTTGGCTGTTGTGAACAGTGCTGCAGTGAACATTGGGGGCATGTATCTTTTCAAATTATGGTTTTCTTCACCTATATGCCCCAGAATGGCATCGTTGGGTCATATGGTAGTTCTACTTCTAGTTTGTTTTTTTTTTTAACTTAAAAAAATTTTTTTTCTGATGATGGCCATTCTGATTAGTGTGAGGTGATATCTCATTGTAGTCTTGATTTGCATTCTCTAATAATTAGTGATGTTGAGCATCTTTTCATGTGCCTCTTATCCAGCTGTATGGCATCTTTGGGGAAATGTCTATTTAGGTCTTCTGTTCATTTTTTGATTGGGTTTTTTGATATTGAGCTGCAAAAACTGTTTGTATATTTTGGACATTAATCCCTTGGTCGCATCATTTGCAAATATTTTCTCCATTCTGTATACTGTCTTTTTTTTTTTTTTTTAATGATTTCCTTTGCTGTGCAAAATCTTACAAGCTTAGTTAGGTCCTGTTTAGTTTTGGTTTTATTTCTATTTCTCTAGGAGACAAATCCAAACGGATATTGCTGCAATTTATGTCGGAAGGTTCTGCCTGTGTTTTCCTCAAAGAGTTTCATAGTATCAGGTCTTACATTTAGGTTTTTAATCTGCTTTATTATTGTGTATGGTGTTAAACAGTGTTCTCACTTCTGGGAATTTTAAATATTGTCCAGTCCTGTCAAATCCTCTAAGAACCTTCTTCCAACTTAAGGTCCAGAGTTTTGCTTGATAATCCCTCAGCCTGATGATTATAGTAAGTTCTTACACAATTCCTATCCCATTACTTTTGACCTCAGAATAGCAACCTTTAAGCCAAGTTAAATTTTCTAGTTGCTGTGGACAGGTAAGTTGCTTAATGAGCAGCAAAATATAAGAGATATTTGGGGGTCAGACAGACTGCAGTTCAAGTCTCACTTCTGCCATGTCTTAGATGTGCAACTGGTCATTACTCAACATCTACAACCTTTATTCATTTATTCAAGTCATCCAAAAAATCACTGGTGTAAATGAAGCTTGTACATACAGAATGTGCCAGCACTAGCGTACCACCAAGTGTACATTGTGAAACACAACCGATGTATTTCCTGCTCTCCAAGAGCTTAGTTTCTGAAGATACATGAGAATGAGTTGCCAGTGACCATCCAGAGGCTAAGTTCTCTGATAGGGATAGCCCAGGCATGGAAATGGGGCACACTGTGTAGGCAAAACTTTCGGAGAAATTATATCAAGCCTCATATATGAAGAATGACTGGGGGCAGTCAGATGGTTAGGAATAATCATGAGTACCTTAACAATCCTAGGTTGTTGAGTTATAGCGTGGAACAGAGACAGTGAATATAACACACCAGGAGTGCATCTGACAGGTCAGTACTGAGTCAGAAAGCATATACAGACTA